GCCCTACAACTTCCACCTTGAATGGCTGCCAACAATCTGTATCAGAGGCTTGCTTCCTAGCCCAGGGCATCACTGAGAGAGGCAGAACCTTCAGGAGGTGGAGACCAGAAGGATGCCTGCCTATCTGGTGTGTTGGGGATGCAGAGGCTCTGGACAGTTTTCCAGGCTGCCATAAAAGGAGCAGTTTCTTTCTCTCTGAGTCCCATCATAAGGATATGGGTCGCTACAAACAAAGGACCATGGGATGAAACCTCTGAACTGGGAGCCAAAGCAAACACCCTGCCCTATAGACTGACTTTGATAACTACCACAGTGCTCCCGAAGAGACTTAGTGAAGCCAAAGATGTAACAGGATCTGGGGTCTCATAGCATGATAGGCAATGGTCCAGGTTGCAACTTAAAAAAAAAAAAAAAAAGTGGTGGTTTGAACCTGTAATTCCAGCACTTAGAAAGCTGAGACAGGAGAGCTACCATGTCCCAAGCCACCAAGAGCTGCATAGGAAAAAACAAACAACAACAACAACAACAAAACAGTCTTAAAGAAGGAAGGAAGGGCCGGGCGTTGGTGGCGCACGCCTTTAATCCCAGCACTCCAGAGGCAGATGCAGGTGGATCTCTGTGAGTTCGAGGCCAGCCTGGTCTCCACAGAGAATCCAGGATAGGCTCCCAAGCTACACAGAGAAACCCTGTCTCGATAAACAGAAGAAGAAGAAGAAGGAGGAGGAAGAGGAGGAAGAGGAGGAGGAGGGAGGGAGGGAGGGAGGGAAGGAAAGAAGGAAGAAAATAAAACCACTAACAGTCCAGTATGGCAACATATATGCTGACTGAAAATAGCACAATATAAATTTAATTCTAATCCTGAATTCTAAGTTCTAGGTGAACTCCTCCCCTCCCCTCTCCACTCTAGAAACTCTAGAAATAACCTTGCTGCCCTATATTGTGTTGCACAAAGGCATTTGGGGGGTTAATCTTGGTGACAGGAGAGCCCTGCCCTCCCCTCCTGTACTGTCACTCCTGGTGTGTGCACCGGGAGTGTCTGGCTCACAGGAGCTCTTACTTATGTGCTTTACCTCTCCTGCTGCCCCCCCCCTGTCCCCTCCCAGGCAAACGCTGTGGCCATTGTGCACGCTCCATTCTTTATGACACTCAACTTGAGTATTTTTGCTATTATAATGAGAACCTGCTCCTCCACATTCAATAAAAATTGCTTTTCAAAACAGAAAAGAAGAAATGGGTGCACACAGCAGTCCATACACCCGGGGCAAAATGAACCATCCATTGACACAGACGGTGTTTTGTTTTGTTTTTATCACATGTCAGGCCCTCCTAGAAGAGAAAGGCTGCCTTGGCTGAAAGAAGTGGTTACAGGACCAGGACAGAAGAAAATGCAGGATGTCTTTTAGAAATAAAAAGTAAATTAATTAATTTTAAAAAAGGACTAGAAGTTGTTCCAGTCAGATTATCACATAGCATCGCTGGTCCAGCCGTGTGGGGTGTGGGGCAGCTTCCCCTGTCTCAGGCAGAGTAAGCCATGTGAAGGGAACTTCAGGACAAGATTCAAGTACAGGAGCAACAGATGATAAAATATCCACCAGCCATGTGAGCGAGCTGACTGAAGGAAGGAGATGGTGACTTCACAAACATCTGCAGACGTGGCATGGCATGTCTTCACTTGAACATTAAAGTGATTCTCTTCATGGTTTTTTTGTTTTCTCGGTAACAATAAATGCATATAAATAGCTGCTTACAAAAACAAAACCTTTGGCAGCTTCCTTCAGACAATGATTAACACCTCCAGACTATAAAAAAAAAAGTTCAAAACCAGAAAACCTCAGGTCTTCCAATCAATAAATAAGAGAGGGCACTGAAGGAAGAACTCTAAAAAAAAGAAACACAGTGGCTAAAAATATTTTTAAAAGTGCTCAACATCCCTGAGATGTCAGGAAAATGAAAATTAAAGCTAAACTGAGACTCTGTCTTCCCCAGTCAGACTGGCTCCCAACCAGGAAACAAATGACAGAAACATGTTCTGAGGCAGGGGGACACCCATATTTACTATGAATAGATGTGGGAATTGGTGCAGTCACTATGGAAATCAGTGTGGAGGGTTTTCAAAAAACTACAAATAGAACTATGAACCCAGGCATGGCAATGCACGTCTTTAATCCCAGCACGGAAGAGACAGAGGCAGGTGGATCTCTGTGAGTGTGAGACCAGCCTGGTCTACAGAGTGAGTTCCAGGACAGCCAGGGCTACACAGAGAAACCCTGTCTTGAAAAACCAAAATAAATGAAAAGTATAACTGCAATATAGCCCTGCTGCTCCACTTCCTGGTGCATCCTGAAAGGACTCAGTCCTGCCAGAGAGAGATCTGCAAACCAAGCCTATTTGCTGTGCTGTTCTCAATAGCTAAGAAAGGGAGCCGGACTAGATGTCCATCATGACAGACAGACAGACAGACAGACAGACAGACAGACAGAGAAAGGATTTGTATTCAACC